TTAAAATACAAAGTACAGTTAGCCAGAAATGCTAGGATTAACCTCATGTTGGGTTGTGTAAACTTCCTATCCGATACGAGTAACATATCCTAACAAAACCTGGCAGCACTTAAATATTTCTGGTCAGAAATTGGGGGTGCAACAATATTCATTTCATATAAGGACTGAACTGTTTGTGGCATTAATTATTAACAACCGTTAGACTAAAATGTCTGAGGCCACCAAAAAATCTACATGGCACTTGGACGAATTTCAAGTTGCAGAGGATAAGCATGATTACAGCTTAGCAGATGAAAAAATTACTATCGCCAACTACAAGGCAAAATTAAAAATAACTGTAGTCAGGTATTTGTTTATTTTTTTATATTGAATTCATTTTTTACAAATATTGTTCCAGCTGCAAGGATAATGATTTAGAATTTGATATGATTGGTATTCATTCATCTGTGGCTAATGCCTTTCGCCGTTTGATGCTTAGCCATGTGCCTAGCATGGCAATAGAGAAAGTATTTTTGTATAAGAATACGTCTATCCTACAAGACGAAGTTTTAGCACATCGCATGGGTCTTTTACCATTAAAAGCTAATCCATACTTATTTCAGTATAAGGACAAGGATAGTGATGACTTGGGCACAGAGCTAGATACACTGGAATTTGAGCTTAAGGTGAAATGTACGCGCAAGAAGGATGTAAAAAATACCCAAAACCCAGATATCGCGTATGAAAACTCAAATGTTTTTTCGGGTCAAATGAAATGGTTGCCACGAGGTAAACAAGCACAAATTTTTAAAGAAGCGGACGTTGCTGCTATATATGATAATATAGTAGTCACCAAACTTCGTCCTGGACAAGAAGTGGATTTGCGTTGTGTTGCTGTTAAAGGTGTTGGTATCGATCATGCAAAGTTCTCGCCAGTAGCGACTACCTATTACAGACTTATGCCAGAAATACGTATAACTAGACCAGTTAAGGGCAAAGATGCTTGTTTGCTGCAACAATGCTTCTCACCTGGTGTTATTGGGATTAATGAGGATGATGAAGCTTATGTTAAAGATGTAAGACATGATACTTTAAGCCGCAATGTTTATCGTTATCCACATTTGGCTGAAGCTGTGTCAATATCACGTGTGAGAGATCATTTCATTTTCACTGTCGAATCGATAGGTGCTTTAAAACCAGATGTTATATTCATTGAAGCAGTTAAAATGCTTCGAAATAAATGTATAAAATTTATGAATATAATCAATACAAAATAATTTGTTAAATTACATTGAATTAATCAATACTTAAAATAAAAAAATTATATAAATTATAATGAATAATTATTATTTTCTATTTCTATAATGATTTTAAATGAATTTACTTCAGTTATTATTAAAGTTTAAATCATACATATTCGTTTATATTTATTATATACATCTATCTAACTATTATTCTATATTAATATATTGTTTCATAAGATAAAAAATTGTTTTTCATAATTTGAAAAAGGAACCAATTTTTAAAATATTATCTAGTAAGATTCTTCCTTCAAATAAAAATTAAGAAGAGACGAATTTATAAAGCTTATGTTATATCTTCATTGCATATGTGAGAAGTGACCAATAGAAAAATTGCACATTATGGTCTTTCTCTAGAACATAAATATTCTTAGAAGCACTGCAGAACAGACAAACTTATAGATAAAGCATATTTTCGTTGCATCTGTGAGTAGTTACTTTCAAAAATAATTTACCAACAGAGAAATTGCAGATGTTAGTACGTTTTGAACTTTTCCAGAACAAATGTTCGAAAATATTTTCAGAGGCATTGCAGATGACACAAACTTATAGATAAAGATGATATATCCATGCATTAGACGAAAATACTTTAAAGTATAATCCACCGATATAGAAATTGGAGGCCTTATTAATTTTGTGCTTCTTCTAGAATGAAGATACCAAAATATTTTTAGAAGCGCCGAGAAGCGTTTTACGGAGGACAATTTGAAAAATGCTGTTTTAGATGATTGATATATTCTTCATTATACATCGCTTAAATCTTTCTTTTCGAGAAGTGATAAAATTTCTTATTTCTTACACTAATTGTGTGTGCAGATTAGTACTATGTCCTATCATATTGAAAATATCAATGTCATATATAGCAAGTGTTTGGCGCAATTCTGAAATTGAGTAGTTTTGATCCATAGTAGCTGTAGACCTAGATTTACCCATACTGTTTATAATTTTCCGTGAAATAATAAATTTTCTTTGTAAGATCTAAATCCTAAATTCTGTTTAATATACTCGATTCGGCAGAATTTATGAGTTGAATTTAGAACCTATATACTAAGCTCCACATATATGTATATATTTTTGCGTATTTAGTTTGATCCTTTTTTTTGTAGCTTAAGCAACTACGAACTGTACATCGTATACATCGTTGAGTCGTAGTTAAAGTATATGTGCATTATCGTTAATTTTAAAAATAAATCAAAAATAAGTGCCGAAAAGTGGGGGTAGCACTTCAAAAACCTCTGGAAAAGATGCCTGCATATCATTGAGTCTTCCCATCTCTTATCAAAAATTTCAGCACAAAAAGGATTCGGTAGCATTCGGTGCATGCTATTAACGATATGTTCAGATTACTTAGATGCTCCAAGTAAGGTCCTGAAGCACTCTTTCTGACTAGCTTGTCTGTTCTGCAATTGCCGAAAATATCCCTATAACCGGGAACACAGATTAGAGAAATATTGAGTTGCAACGACTTTTCGTTTAGAGATGTGTAACAGGCACAAACCGTCCTAGATATAAAATGAATGAAAATCAAAAAACTGTTCAAAATTTTTGTACTGGTTTGGACGTCTACTCATATATCTGGTGTCTGGTATAAAAAATTAAAAACTGTCCAAAATTTTTGTACTGGTTTAGACATGTCTCTATATATCATATACAGTATTGCTCATTTCTGGCGCAGTGTTGCTTGTGTCTTCGACTATTTATCTATTATATATATATTAAATCACAGTAACAGATTTTTATGATTTTTTTTAATTATTCGTGAATATTTCAATTTTTAACAATTTTTTAAAGTAATATTTTTCACCAACAACAACAAATCACTTTAGGTTTAATGTGTACTAATAAAAAGTATTTAAAAACTTTTTTATATGTTTATTCAGGCGTGTTTGTGTGGACCTGTCACAATTTGACATAATTTCAAAAAGTAAGAAACTCACCAACAGATACGAGTGCTTACAGTGAATCTGTCAAATTGCTGACAACAGCATCCGATCTCTTATAATTGAAAGTTATTTTTAAAACACCCTCAAATGAATAAATGCCTGTCTATATTGAATCTTAAGTTAATAAAAAAGTATCTAAAGAATTTATATAAAAAACTTTTTCAATTTTCTTTAAAAATTTCAAAAGTATTTTAAATTTGTTAAGAAATTATTTTCTTTTATATAATATATTAAAAGTAAAATTTTCTTATTGAACGAATGTATGAATGAATTGATTAGTTCTTTAGATTCATATTCATAATTTTTTTCTGTTGTAAAACCGTAAACTAACATATATTGATTTCAATTTTAAAATTTTTCATTCACAAAATGTTTCATTAATGGATTTTTTTATTTGTGAAGAAAAAAAAATACCAGATACCAGTTCGAGGAATGAAAGATGTAAACTTGTTTACAAACACACGCTTCAGGTGCCATCAGATTTTAACAAAAACGTGTTAGTTCCATTAAATAATATTCATTAATAACTTTTTTTTCTTTAATCAATTAAATAATAAAAATACAATATATACAATACAGATGCATAAATATATAATATATCCGCTTCTACTTGAGCCGCAGATTAACTCTCGGCGGTTTTATTTATTTTCGCTCAGCAAGATCTCGTCGTCTATGAGCTTTTTCGTGGCCCTAAATGTGTGGATATTATTAATGGTGCTATAAATGATTTTTTATTGGAGTTACTGAACACCCTTCCAGCACAAAACGGATTTACAATTAAAACAAAATCGTTAATTATTACTCAAAAAATTTTAAATCAAAAATAGAGTTTAACTCGCTATCATTAATAAAACTCAACAAAAACTGTATTGAAATTTTTTTTATTATATGCCATTTTCACCTGAAGCTTTGGAAAATTTATTAAAACTATTTAAGGTTTTAGATTATTCAATTATAAGAAAAAAAAAATATATATATATAGATATTTATATCATTAAAAATATATGCTAATAGCGGTGTGTATCTGCACATATGCCACACGCCAATATAAAAACACACCATAAAATTTTTATTTGTTTCCAGATACATTAAAAAATCAGGTGTAGTGTGGAAATGCTTAAAATGTATATTAAAACATCCAATATATATATATGTATATGTATATATACTATATACTATAATATAATGTTTTTAATAATAGAACCTAAGCATTTTTCACGAATTATTCATGTGTAATTTATTTTTATTTTCTTTTAAATTTTTTTTTATCTGTTGTTATATACGCAAATAAAGCGAAGAGATTAATCATCAATCATAAGTAATAAATTTCTAAATTGTTAATAACAATTATGACCCAGCAGATTTTCGTGAAGTCATGCAAATGCCGCCAACAAGTTAATTCGCAAGTCTTTATTCATCCAAATGATAAATAAACTTTTTGATATGCGGATTTCGTGAATTAATTGATCAAATATTGATTCAATTTGCGTTAAGTATGTTTAAATTTATTAACGAATTTATTTTTTAAAAACCTTTCATTACTAAATTTATAAATGATAAGTTGTTTATTCATTCAATTACACTGTATATCAAAATATTGACAAGATTTACTCAGCTAACACAACAGTTAAGACGCGATAATGATAATCAATACTGCTAAATTGATATCTATTTCAGAACTATAACACTTAGATTATTATGATACTATATATCAAGTATCATAGCAGCAATAATTAAAAACTATAAATTTATAATATCAAAAATAAGCTATTGATCTGCTTGACACTTGACAAAATGTATTTTCCATCCTAATCTCGTATAAGAACTTTGAAATGAAAATGAGGAAAAAAAGACGATAGCACAATGGGTTGTGTACCATGTTCCATGTTAAAATGGCAGTTCAATAAAAGTACATTGATGGCCATTTAGAAACAAGTCATTATGCTATGCAGCAAAAATAAATAAAAATTACTATATATAAGTCGATGGTTTCTCTAGCATTAGCATTGATCAGATTCTTGCCTTTACAAATACCACTGACTGGTTTCTAGCTGCATCTTCTCTTTACTACCTATTACTACACGGAGTTGAAGATTTAAAATGGCTTTCTTACCTAATTGAGGATTTGGTTCTCTCTCCATCACAACTAACTAACTAATATATATAAGTATCCATCGGTTAATAATCGGTGATTTTTGGTGTATGAAACATACAAATATTCATTATTCATTATGATTATCAGTAACAGACAAAATAGCACAGTCTAACTCAGGAAACACCTTAACCCCACTACAAGCAATCTTACTCAAAGCACATAAAAGCACCAGCGACTCAAAAGGAACTATATAAATCCCGCTATTAAAGAATAATGCCCGACATGAAAACGAAATTGAGCGCAGCTTTGACTGAGGACAACTAATTATCAATTTTCTTTCTTCTACTACTGCAATTAGCGATAGCTTATTGTTAGTACTAAGTTGAATGTTAGAAGATTCAGTAAAAAACAAAATAATTTAAAAAAATGTATAAGAAAAATTAAATCTTTTAATTATTCAATTCATTTTTTTAAAGAACAAATAATTAAAGCAGATACTGAAAATATTCTCATTACTAAATAGACTTACATTCTTACACGCTTCACACAAATAGCTAATAGCATATTTATAATGTTTATTTTGAAATAATTTGCTTGCAATGAAATCTTTACTTTGCCTATATTGTCTATATATATAGGTTAAAGTGACAGCCTCGTGCACCAAAGCTGTCATTTAAACAGAAATAATGGTGCGTTATGATACCACGAATGAAATGTTGCCCGTACAGTAGACTTAAATCACCACTTTAAATATTATATAAAAGTCTCAAGTAACCCGCACACAAACAGCGTTCCAGTAAAAGGAAACTAAACTAACCACTATATAAATTTGGCTATATCTTTAATTTTAAAGAATGTTAGTTTTGTTAGTTCAGTCAGTAAAGGGGTCTCAAAGATTTTAAATCTTCTCCCTAACAATGATCGACAGTGACACATGTGTTAGAGTACAGTTACCCTCTCATCCACAGAGCAACATATTTTAAAAAATGTTTATAGGAACATAAATAATTTTTAAAAACATAAATAAATAAATATCAAAAATTAAATAGCAAAATATCATTATTTAAAAATAATATTCACTTAGTGTTTAAAAAATTCAAGCAATAAAGTATCCAATTACCAGTAGATACTATAATCAATATTCTCATAAAACGAGTCATAACTGTATTAACATATTATGATATATAAGTAAGTTATATTATAAACACATATTTGTTTTTTAATGTAATTACCCTTTTTATTGATGACGTTATTAATACCTTAATAACAATGATACAAAAGTTCGATATACGGGTAAATACCAAAAACAAAAAAAAAACCAATGGAATTAAGATTTGTAAATAATAGCTAAAGAAATATCACACAATTCTGATTAAATATTCTTTCATCTTTCAAACATTTTTTTGATGACGCACAAAAATAAAACAGAAAAGAGTACAATATCTGGATAAAAAATATATCGATAAAAGTAAATCAAATATTAATTCTTCAATAATGGACTAAATACAGAATGGAGTATAATACTTGAATAGAAATAATAAAACTGAATATTATTTTTATTTTTAATTTTTGTATTATTATTTGTCTCGGAAAAAATTAAGAAAGTACGAACTCCAATATACATATACAATGATTTGTATTGACCCGTAATTATATCTGGTCTAAATAGGCCAGGTGTAAACCATCTTCGTTATCTCTTGTTTGATAAATACGAATGAAAGGAAAGTCTTTGATCGTATCTATTTTTTCTCAATATCATTTTTAAACTGACTATTGAATGAAACAACCAATCTATAATCATGGCAATCTTTAAAAGAATATCTGGTATTCACAAAAATCGGAAATTCTCCTATTCAAGTAGAAAGAGACCACTGCGAATTAAATAATTGCATGTACATGATTGACTTTAGTTTGATTTATTTATTTTAAGATAATATTTGTCATAAATATGAAAATGAGTCTCTATAAAATTATACAGACCCCTAAACAAGTAGCTAAACAAGTAGCATAAAGGTAGCATAAAGAAGTTACTGTTTGTGATAAATTCGTTATTAATTACCACCCACTTGAGCCATAAAATTTTTTAAATGACTCAAATATAAATTCAGACGAAATACGAAACAAAAAAATATTTAAGAGCTGGAACTTTAATTTAATTACACATTTTATCTTTACCTTTTATCTTTTTATCTTTATCTTTTTATCAAAATAAAAAAGCGGTCTATTCATAAACATAGCAAACGGAGACATATGGGGCCCCAGCTAAGAATGAAACCAACGTAATTTATCATAATTAAATCGAAGTTATATAAATCCCGAAAACATAAATAACATATTAACTATATAATTTAGTTTCCCTTTTTTATGTTTTTTTTTTTGTTTTATAACCATTACAGTATTAATAAAGTAAAGTCAATTTTGTGTTCGAATTTTCTTTCTAAGTTGTCTGGGTATAAGTTATTAGATGCTATCCTTTGAGCAGCAGTTTAGGAGAGTGGTTTCCAACCGGTGGTCCGCGAAGTGGTTAAAAATGATCCGTGAATCAAATGGAATAGATTGTAGTTTGTCCACTGAGACTTCACTTATTAGAAAATAAGCACAAAAAATTATATATATATATATATATATATATATCTATATATTTAAAATTATAGCTTATATAATGCATCTATGCACTTATACAATTCATTATATATTATATCAGAGATGTATAAAGCATATTAAAATAATCATACAGTTTATTATTCTTAAACTTTGTGGTCTCTACTAAAAGCAAAAATAGCATAGTGGTAGCATACCAAACCAAAATACCAAAATAGCATACCAAACAATCTATCTAACCAATATATTTATTTTCTATTGGTTTAGCAAATTTTTCGACTATTAAATACTTGTATGGTATATATTTTTCAAGTTATTGAATTGCGCTCGTACATATATATTTATTCAATTTTTCATTGTTTTTATACCATTTAAAGGATTTAGTGTTTAATATCATACAACCTACTTCAATCTACCCAATTTGTTCAATCCATTTATCTATCGAATCTCTTTGGACTCTTTGGACTTTGGACTCTATATGTAAAAAATTCCCACATTAAATCTTCACTCTTTAAATCCTATGGGGTGAGTTATGTCTCTAACCGTGTGCTCCCCACACGATTTTTTGACTTTTGGGTGTTTTAGATTCATTAGCATTTAGGTTACATATACAAAAATGTGTGTTCTGTGCCTTCATAAATTTGTGTGTACATAAATTTAAAGATTCCTGAATTAAAATTTATGTGCTCTTAAGTGTGAACTTGTAATCTGTTTATGGTGAAAGGAATTAGTTCTTAAAAATTATTGTTTTATATACGAAATAATTTTTATAATATACTACTGAGAATTTATATCGATTTAATCGATTCTTAAAACGGAAAAAAACAAAACTGAATAATAATGATAATGCCTTTTTCAATTATTTAATTTATTTTTTTTTAATTGCACATATTTTTATTTGTCTGCACATATATTTATCTGTCTATATTTATCTGTAGATATTGTATATCATAAATATTTGTTAATATTTTCAATTTAATGTGACTATAATTTTTCTTGCCCTTCAACTTGTTGTTAATATTGTTAAAAATTTCTTCACTCACTTGCAAATTGCATATTTCCAGATATATTAATCTTAGACGTTATTTATTTTAATTCTTCGGAATAAGTGCTCAAATTTATCTACAAGAAAACTTCTTGTACAAGTGTTGAAAAGAAAACCATTATAATTTGTGTATGTTTTACATGAAATTAACAGCTACAGAAATATACAAAATATACAAAAGTGTTAATGAATTATTATCGTGTAAATGCGTTCAGCATCTCATCTTCACATTCCCCCTTATTGCTTTTTGCATGGAATAATCGCAAGAGAATTTGTTGCATTCATTTTTTAGCCATGGAACGCAAACTGCAGCCAGTCACTGGTGATATGTTGATTGATTTGGAACCGCGGTAGCAGGTTTGGAATACTTAGAAAATTATTTGTCTCCGTTTTGTTGTACACGAGTTCTGCGAAAAACACAATACCGAACAACAAATAATTAAGATAAATGCTTGCCTTTTACCGTGAATTCGGTAAATTATTTTTGTTTTCGCATAAGAAAGATGAGCATTGGTCAAATGATGTAACATTACTGGAAAATTCCTAAAATACCACAAAAACGAACATACACATATACATATATACATAGAAATACATTTATGTACATATAGGTATATGAAAGCAAAGATATAAATTTGTTCACTATATAAATGGAATAAATTAGTTTAATTTTCATTGGAGTTGATTGATGTAATCAATCCACTTAATACTGAAGAAGTTCTTCAAATGTTTCAGGACTTCTGGAAACATTTCAACGACGTCAATATCAACATAATACTAAAAAAGTTATTAAAATGTTTCAGGACGTCTGGAAACATTTCAACGACGTCAGTATCAACATAATACTGAAGAAGTTTTAAAAATATTTCAGGACGTCGGAAATATTTTATTCCTCAGAAATTATAGATTACAATCAATAAACTTAATACTGAAAAAGATCTTAAAATGTTTCAGGACATCTGGAAACGTTTCAACGACGTCAATATCAACTTAATACTGCAGAAGTTATTAAAATGTTTCAGGACGTTGGAAATATTTTATCCTCAGGAACTTTAGATTACAATCAATAAACTTAATATTGAAAAAATTCTTAAAATATTTCAGGACGTTTGGCATATTTTATCCTCAGAAACTTTAGATTAAAGCAGTACTAGCAAGAACCGTAGTAAGAAGATATCGATGAACAAACATTATGTTATTGATAAAGATATTGAATAGCCTTATTATTGAAAATTTGATAGCCTTAATAAAACTTTCCAAATTTAAAAATAATAAAAATCTATAAGACTATTGGGTTTTTTGACACATTTTTGAACAAAACTTTTTTATTAAAAATCAATTCTATATATTAAGTATTATTATTACATATTATTATATATATATTATATATTGTATATATAATATTAAGTTTATACGAGAGCTGCCTTTTAAATGTTAACAACACCCTAACAATGAAATCGCAGTGGTTAATCAGTGAAAATGGTTTTATTGTTTTTTAGATATTTTCTCCATGATGATCCATACATGTTTGGATTCGACTGAACCAATTTTTTAAACAGTTTTGACACTCTGAAGTTGATAGTTCAAAACCAGGGTTTTGAATATCTGAAAGACCTGTTCGAGCGAAAAAAAGTTACACACGCATTTTATTCTTAATGTTTGGGAACAAAAAGAAGTCAATGGGTACCAAGACGGGACCATAAGGCAAATGTACCGTCAATTCAATTAGGAGTGCTCAAAAACTTTTTTGTTTGAGTTGAAGTGTGGGTGCTCACATTATCGTAGTGGAGGATGCTTTTCTTCGACGATTGATTTTCCTCAATTCTCCGAAGACTTCCGGCAACAAATGTTTGTGTACCACTCAGAATTCACCATTCTACGTTGTTCAAGTGGTACAATTGAAAAAAACATGTTAACATTTGCTTAGATTTATACCGTCCGCGGACAACTTTTGTCGGGTTCTGTTTACTTTTTTAAACCCAAACATTGGATTACTGTTTTGTTTCGGATTTATAGGCGTAGATCTGTGAAACGTCAGTTATCGTAGACATCTTTTATGTTACCTTGTTTGCACAAATCAGGACGTGCCTTTTTTTTGAGTGGTTGTCAAATTATATACTGCTAAATGTGTACGTAAAATTGAATGTGTGCTGGTGCCACAAATGCCCAAAGAGTCTCTATCTTCCGGTATAATTGAGATACCGATCAATCATTTCCCACACTGCATCGAATTTTTTTTGGTACAACAGTCGTTATTAAACGACTTTCATGAAATTCGTCGTGCCGAGAACGACGACCACGCTGATTGATCCAGCGTATTACAGTCGCTGGATGTGGTGTTTCATCACCAAATATCGAACTAAGTTTGCTGCATTCTTTTCTTTGAATGATGCACAATGTAAGCAACACAATGCGCATGTGACCTAAAACGCTATAATAACAATTATGGGTTTTTCGATCTTTTCGTTTTTTATTTACCTCTGCACGGTATCATATATAGACAAAAATCGCATTACCAGTTACCAAATATTTTATCTTATCCTGATAGTCAGAAATATTTGTTTGTCAAACTTTAACCCGACATTGGTTTTCCAAAAATTTGGGTATTTTTTGCTCCAAACGAGATATCAATCTCTGCAGCTTGTGACTTCAATTGGGTTCAAATGATCGGGGCGAAACCCAATGAGCTGTTAACAATATTGACGAGGTTTCTCATTATCAATCGATAATTTTTTTACAATCAGAATAATCCTCGATATTTTAGTAGTAGTATTTAAAGACTAAGCATATCACAAATACCACACTTCACAGCAGCAAAATGTTCTGATTGGTTTATTAAACTATTAAATTTAGGTTTTTAGTTTTTCAAATCATAACCCTAGAACTACCTTGTTTTAAAATTTTTAAAAATGATTGAAATATTGTCAAATTGTTAAATTATTTCTAATAGAATTATGTAAAAAATGTAAATAACAAAACTAAATTCATGTACAAAATTAGAAGTTCCATATGTTACCGTATTAAAATTTAAGATTTAAACATATGTAATGCAATATAACTGTTTTCTTAAAAATGGAAAAGAATACTGGATTTAACTCATCAAACAGACCTCGAAATAATCAACGCCTTATACCTTTAACAACCACAATTATAGAAGCAATGGCCACATTTAACGATCCTCCTTCGGAAATTGCACTGAACGAAAGCCGTTTACCTATCAGATGGTCTACCTATATGCAAGCTATCATGAGAACTAAACAGGTTAGGTGAAAAAAATTAATTAAATATAATTAGTGTATAAAAAGTTAACTATGTTTATAGAATTATGTTTCAAAGTCGACTCTTAATTCCACATTAAAAAGCAATTCGCAAAAAAAATACGAATCCAAGATAACTAACAAAAAATTGGCTGTTCTAAAGGACCGCGAAACTCGTTGTTAGCCCTGGTATTAGTTGTTCATCAGTAAAGAAGATTTGATGGGGTTTCGTTTGAGAAAGGATGAAAAATATATTATATTGTGATATGCTGTCTTTTATTTTCTGGTATATATTAGATTTATGGCATTAAAGCTATATTTATGTATCTCTATACAAAGAAATAGAGTACATACAAAGAAAACCGCACTTCAATCTCTGTCAATAAAATAGTTTTGTAAATGAAGAGAACTGTTTTATCTTTAAATTCTATCTTACAAATTTCAACATTTCAATTTTTGATATGAAATTAAAATTTTAATCATCTGAAGAGAATTAAAAGAAAATTGTCAATGATTAATTGTTTTATTGAACTCAAGAAATTGTAATAATATTACAATTACATTGCGCTACCTTCTTTTTCATGGACCTAATCCTGCAGCATCATGTTTACGTTTCATTTGGAATTCAGTGTCAGACGAATTGTAAAGAAGCAAAGTCATTATTTGATATTTGAAACTTATTAAAATGCTTGTAATGTGGCATCAAGTCTACTCTACTACTACTACTACACTACATTCATAAAGCATTGACACACCCCAGCATTTATTTACAAGGTACTCGTAAATAATTCCTAGTGTTTTATTTTGACAAATGATAACAGACATAAAATTACAGCTGGTGAATTTTCAATTAGCTCTTCTTTTATATTAAAGTATAGTAATGTATACATTACTTTATAACGTGAATATAAATCAGCCTGAAGAAGTAACAAAATTGTTGTATTTATTTATCACTAATTACTTTTAGAAATGCCTTAAATATAGAAAATATGATATTAATGAGAAAAACTATAAAGTAAATTGTCCAACAAATATTCTGAAACTTAACTGACTACTCATACAGGTCACTGCATTTCAGATAACCATGCTAGAAGATTAAATCTCTCTTTCAACCATACCTGCAGTTGTGGAGACGACGATAAAAGTGCCTCTACTTTGCTTCAGTCCAGACATGCGTGGTACCGCCCTACCACTTTAGGCGCTTTCTTTTTAGAGGATCTTGACGAACTGCATGATCTTACTATGAATACCATTATAACCTTTGCTTCCAAGTGCTTCCAACTTCTGAACCACTTTTAATTATACGCTAACACAATGGGCTTTTAAGCCTTAGTGAATCCTTTAGGATCCCCGGTATAACCTAGTCTAAACTAACTGACCACTAACTGACCACATTCTTAACCAATAATTCACTACATAAATTTTTAAAAGATCTTTTAATCTGTTAAATAAGTACAATTATTATGAAAAATTAATTTAATTGAGACCCCCCATACACTTATAGTGAAAACTATAGAAACCTCACTTCAATTATAACTATTAATTACAGATTATATACACATACGATTAACTTATATATAGATTTCCTAAATTATCTCAAGAATAAACTGGTTTCATGTCTTTTAATAAAATGAACAGAAAGATTTAAAATCTCACAACTAGCTTAATGTCTCAAACAAACTTAAAACTTGAAAGTTGATATATAATGTCCTCTGATATTTAAACCATGTTCTGTATAAAGTGATTGCTTTCAATTGTCTCTATGTCAATGAACAACATAACCTAGAAGCATACCGCTTCCATATAACTATTATATTGACAAGGTTTCTTAAATTTTAGTATATCAAATCTAAAGCTCTTGTTTGTGATAGAAAAAATCTATAATTCAATATAGATTATTGTATTGTATTATCATTTATAATAATAAATATCATTTATTATAATAATGCAGAGCCTGCCTCTGAAACTAAAATTAGTGATAAAAAGAAACCCTTCAATCCATCCAAGAAGCTTCGACCGATAACTATTGGCACTTCGCGTGCTAAGTACAAAATATTGTTTCGAGAAATGTTTCCAGCGCTGTGTTGACTCGAAAGGAGACTATTTCTATTTCTTCCATTACCTTTGTGTATGTCCTGTCTTTGAAAGCAGGATGCGAGGTACTTTCATCGTCGTCTCCACAACTGCCGGAGGTAAGATTGAAAGAGAGATTTAATCTTCTAGCATGGTTACATAAAATGCAGTGACCTGTATTAGAGGTCAGTTAAGTTTTACAATATTTTTTGGACAATTTACTTTATAATTTTTTTCATTATTGTCACATTTTCTATATTTAAGTCATTTCTAAAAGTAATTAGTGATAAATAAATACAACAATTTTGATACCCTAAATAAATCACTCTTCAGCAATCTCGGAGAGTTAGAGGCGGCTAACATTATCGACCTGTAAAGCTTCTTAAACCATAGACAGCTTCTATCTGAGCTGTCTATAAGCAACCTATTAAACAGCTGCGCAATGAGGATATGGTTTCGAGACGACCATATCACAAATAGGACTCATAGACTAAATCACCACTTAAACCAACCAACCATATTAATATCTTACACCGTTTTGTTTTTAGTTAAAATTGATAATACATTGATCATATTTGATCAACGTTTATAAATTAAATTTAATTATAATTATTAATATATTATATTTCAATTTAATTATAATTATTATTTATTGTTTATCGCATAATAATATAATATCTTGTCAGCATCTATTATTATTTTCTTTAATATTTGCATTTATTTTCTTTATATTTTACGATAAATTTCAGCATCATCTCAACATCAGTTTCTTGTGTAATTTCGACTGATTTGGGTTAATTACTCATCGAACTTGCTTTAGATGAAAGCTTTCTTCTTTTTTAATTCAAATTAATGAAATAACTGTTTGTATTTGAGCCTATAAATTAGATATATTCCCAGGCATTGAATTCACCTCAAGCCAGTAGTAGCAATATTGTGCTAATTTTTTAATATTTGACTAAGCAATTACAAAACCGTGAGAAATAACAAAATTTATTAATTTTTAAACACATTTTACATATCTTTGTCATCATACGTGTAAAACGTTTTGATAACATCGGTATAACATTTCTTCTTATCCATAGCTATTGAGATGAGGTTTTTCTCTTTAATCCAATGCTACTTAAATATAAAATTAGCACCTCTTTGTGGAAAATGAAACCCACTTCGGAGCAATTGTATATAAATAAATTCTTGACAACTTCAACGATATCAACAGTACAAATTCAATTAGTTTAAGTCGTAAATATGAGATATTAACAAGGTTTTGATAATAGTCATGATCTGAGTATGCTTCTTTGTTCATTCGAAGATTGAGCTGAGCTCAGCTACGTTGAGCTTAGCATGAATGAAAATTCATTTAGCCTGAAGCTGACAAAGAAACAGCAGAGTAAAGACTACACAACCATGAAGCCAAGCTGCTAACTTACGCCCCAGCATAGTTGCAGCACCGCAAATTGATTTTCGATCCAAGCACAACATAAAAGAAGAGAACAGAAGAACAGAGGAATAGAGGAACAGAATGTAGTGGTCGGTCTAGAGTATGGAAGAATTGCGCATGATAATTTGTGATGTCAACAAATAAAGTAGATTGTCTTGTTTGTACGTCAATTTATTTATCAAAATTTATAGTGCCCAATGGGAAAATTGATTAAATTGAATATTAAACTAGAAATAAAAATAAAACTTAGATCTATAAAAATCACACTGCATCTGCAATAATACTTTACTATACATTTAAAGCCGGCTTTACTTTCTGAACCGGCTATACTTGGCTTAAGAAATAAAGTTTATTTAAACGCCTGTGGCTTTAATCTAAGAACCGTTGGATTAAATAAAATTGTACAAGTTATGATAGGAATGAATTAGATTCCATTATTTTTAACACTAACTATACATATTATTTAATGTTTTATTCTGTGTTTAATAACCAATATTTTTAAATACGGACAGAACTGTTGAAATTCCTTATCAAAAGTTTTATATTAAACATTTTAATAAAAGATGGGAAGACTCAATGATATACAGGCATGTGTATGCAATCTGACCACTTTCCAATAAAAGGAAATCCAATATTCCCATTGAAATGCCACGTAAAGATATCAGTCTTATGGTAGATTTACTTACAGGTTACTGTTGAATAGGGAACCATGCTGGAAGACTCAATCTTCCTTGCAATCATATCGCAGCTGTAGGGAAGACAAGGACTCTGTCGTTGCCCAGCTCATGCACGGTGGCGACACTTCACTTTAGGAGTCACCTTTCTTGAGGATCTTAAACAATTACAAGACCACCCACTAAACAGCATTCTAAGCTTCGCCAAAGATTCTAGGTGGTTTTAAACCCTGAGTTTCCTCTATACACGGTACACAATGGGGCTAAGTAGGCTTAAGTGGATCACCTAGGGATTAGATCTATTACCTTATATTACCTTCTTTGATTATTTTAGAAAGAATCATTCACCTTAGCGAGAAAAGCAATTAGGGGACATAGAAGCCATCCAATAGTCTTATACCGACTTCCTGATGAACATTCTCGATCGAAGATCTCAAACTCTCACAGTTTGCAACAAAAGTTTTTGTTCTTTTTGTTAAAAAGCCCTTGTGCATAGAAGCCGAATTAATACTAAGCAGTAACTATTTTAATGGTAATTTAAAGATATATTAAAACAGATAACTGCAGATAAAAGTTGATAAATTATCAGCTCAATTATTAATTAACAACGATAATTAATTGAAAAATTTAAAGTTTTTAGAGAAACATATTCATATACATGTTTCCAAGCAAATTAAACCCAAAAATAAATAAATATTCTTTACCATAGCAACATATTATTTATAAAATATTACACACAAAAAAAATTTTTACTCATTTTTATAGACACTTTTAAAACAAGCATAATAACATAAATACGCGACAAAATGTTTTTTTGGGGAATTAGTGAAGCCTTGGACGTATATGAGGAGTACGTAAATGCACTAAAAGGTGAAAAGAAGGTACCAGAAAAAGACGAAACTGAAGAGACCAACTCAAATGCAAAGCAAACAGTCACAGATGTTAATGAAAATGAATCTGGAATATCAAATCCAGAAGACACAAAAACAGAGGAGACAACAACAGAGGACACAAAAACAGAGGAGACGAAAACAGGAGATACAAATCTAGACAACACAAATCCAGAGACCACAAAAACAGAAGAGACAAAAATAGAGGACACAAATATAGACAACACATATCAGCAGGACACAAAAACAGGAGAACGGAATCCAGAAAACACAAATTTAGATAACACAAATCCAAAGGATACAAATTTAGAGAACACAAAAACAGAGAATATAAATACAGAGGTGACAAATCCAGAAAACAGTAATCCAAAAGATACTGGAGACAATGATATTTTTTTCGAACAACCTAAATCACTAAACGTTTTGCTTTTTGGTGCCGGTGATCCACGTCACATAATAAAAACAATGGCGAAATTGTATAAATACAACAAAAAAAATGACACGGTTTCTGAAAAACCACTTATAAATATATATGTGATTGAAGGTTGTCCCGAGTTAGTAGCACGTTACATTATTCTACTTGCGATTGCCTTGGAAAATCCGGAAACGCTTAATTTGCGTTTGAAAACACATCTTTTCATGGATGTATATGGTAATAGTTTATTACGCCCACTTTCATGTCAATACTTAGTCTATAAGACGAAATGTTTAATGAAAACATTTTCGGATCGCGAGATAACAGCACAAATAGCACCTATGATTTCAATTGAAAGAATGAAATATCGTGAACGTGACAATATAGAAAATGCATTTGAATTTTGGTCACCAAAACCAGGATACATATTCAATATAAAAGAATACTGGTCTACGAGATTACGCAAAGACTTGGGCATTCGCTATGACTTTAGAGAAGGTTCATTTGACTGGGACTTAAATATGGTGTTAAAAGAACGTGATGCTAAACAATTATGCCCACAGGTAAATTTCCATAAATTTTTTCTTAAATATATGAAATTCTATTATTTTTTTATTTTTAGGAATATAGTTATTGGCGTGAAACTGGTATAGCTTTTACTTTTCCAGAATATGAGCAATGTATGCCAAATAAAACATATTCCCTAGCTTTAGTACGTAATGGTAGCACTTTTTTACATCGCGGCTACGAAGGCGACATGCATACTGGCCCATTTTGTACATTCGGTTTAAAATCGACTGATTCACGTTTTACGAATAGTGCACACGGTGAGAATGATTATAGAGCAACAGACGTAACTGAACGCAATCTAATGGAATTATTTCATGAACTGCAGAATAAATCACCATATGAACATGATATTGAGTTCTCCCGTAGATATGGGTCGGTAAAATTGCTAATGGGAAAAATATTAAGTTGGAATGATTATGAACAAAACTATTCCCAAGATTGTGATAAAGCCTGGCTAAGCACGGAAGGTGTTAAAGTGCACTTTTTATCTTCTGATGAGATATTTTCGATGCAAAATACTGCTACTAATAGTAATTGGCAAAGTTTTTTTGATGTTATATTTGTGGGTTCCAATTACTTTTCATTCCTGAGAAAAGAATTATCTACAATAATGAATAAAAATGCGTTATTACTCTTAGAAACAAAGTTACGTACTGTAGAGAGAAAGGAAAATGTCGCTGAATATGAAAAGAAACTGAAGGATTTCGCTAAAACTATTAATTTGGCTCCAGTTATCAATTATAATGCGATTAATGGGAAAAACTCAATTTTGAAATTTAAAAAAGTTAATTGACTGTTTTTTTTATTTAGTACGATACTTTAACATATACATATAATATATTTAGGTACTATTCTCTATTAAGATAAATCTCTATTATTAAACTCTTTTAAAGTTTATTTCAAATAAAAATTATTGCATGCATTGTAACAATATTAAATGTTTTAGTTATTTATTTTAAAAAATAATCATATCGCTATTTTGAAACGATATGGACCCTAACCATATTAATATTCCTTTAAGAAAATTTCAAACAGAAAATGGAAGAGTTATAGAATCAATAAAACAAAAATGGAAGAAGTCATGTTTTTACAAGATTTGATGTTATTCCGACGCGTCTCACAATTGTGGAACCCATGTCTGAGGTACATAAACCGCAATAGGATATCCTATTCCTTTGTATTAGAACTTTGTGTATTACACTTCTAATATTAATGATTACATTTACAAAGCTCTGTTATTGAAGAACACTGATTGCTTCACTACTGTACTAAGGTACTAGTCCATGAAGTAGTTTTTATGTTCTATATAATGTCATTTTATTTTTATCTGTCGCTAACTATTGCTTTCTTTGACGTATGTTTTACAAATTGGTTACATCGTGAATTATACATATTTAATAGTGTTAACACTATTGGGAAGTGAACTTGTTCAAAAATTGTGATGATAATTAGTATGATAAATAGTCCAAAGGATCAATTGGTACGCAGTTGTATGCAGTAATAGATCATAAAGTGGTTTTTATATTCTCTACGATGTTATTTTATTTTACGCAAATGTAGACAAGGTGATACTAACTGCTTTTGTCGTTTGTTCTTACATTTTGAAACAATATATGGTACATATATATGCGGACACGCTTAAGATCAAAGAATAAAATAATTCTAGTCTTGGGAAGCACTTATAAAAAGAGTCACAAACACTGGGGTAAACAAAAAGCAGAAGAGGAACATAATCTAGATAATAACAGTAATGAATTTCCTCGCTGTTATATAGTTCGTTAACAAAGTGAACCAAGTAAGATCCTACAAAAAAGGGCTCACAACAACACTCCATACCAAATATCTAGAAACAATTTTCAAGTAACTTTAACTTGGAAGTGTTGAAATTTTCTATTACATATTTATGTTGTATATCTTACTATTTTAAAACTATTTCAAAATTTTAATAAATCAAACGAGTTAACTAGACTTATAAAACTATTTTTTTAATTTATTGTAATTACCTTAAAATAGTCGCTGATGAGCTCCATACTGTAATTCAGTACCAGCCATTCGAATTTTTTGGAGTCATGATTTCTTGAAATGTGTAAAATTTAATTTTGCTTTATTTTTGTTGTGTTTTAAAAAACTTGTGAAGATTCCCTCGTCATATAATAATATATTGTATTTGATATCATGTAATAGCTCTGTGCCAAATTTTATTATTTAATTAGCTTTGCTTTGAAAGTGTTCATATTATATATTTTAAGTTGAGTTTAATTTATTTATTTTCGTATATATTTTTAATAGATTTACACTTATTATAGTTCAATGTGAAATATATTTATGTTTAATGTTTTAAAGGAACTGCATTAAAATTTTTAAAAAATTATGCACGATATTTTTAAGTTTGTAATGTAAGAGTTTATGATTATTATATATTATTTCAATATATTTTTATATTATGTTACTGATCGTATAACTAATATTGACATATATATGGTTTGATCACAAAAAAAAGAGAAGTTTGGATTGCTTTTAGATTTAATCAAGAATCAGTTGTACAAAAAGCCATTGCGTTACAAAACCATAGAACTAAAGTGAAATATGAAACGTTGTCATCATCAGATATTATGTATCGAAATTCAAACAGCTTTACAATATACAAAATTGAACTGCAGTAATTAATTAAAATCTCAAATTTTTTCGTCTCATTGTTTAACTTTTAATTGCTTAATAAATTTGTTACACATTATAGTTCTAACTATTTTTGTTTCTCTTCTTTGAAGCCCATGTATTTAAATTAAATTCCAGATTATCATCTTTAAATACACGTACTTTATTGTAAGTACGGTTACTGTTATTATTGTCAAAATCGTCTTCATCCAATATACCTCTGGTCCGTATATTGAATTGATTTGCACGCTTATTTAAAAATTTTCTGTTCTGTGTTTGTTCCATTTCAATATTGACAACTTTACGCCTTGGTACATGTGAGAACGCTTTCATCCAATCGCCAGTTTTTTTAATATCCAACATAATACTAACCATTTGATTGAGAGTTAATGATTTCCCTGAACCGGCTCCCCACTGTAAATAATGTTCGAGTGGTAAACGCGCCATACGTAAACCCAATTTTTTAGCTTTTGCTAACGAAAGTGGCTCATTGTTAGACTGAAATTTAAATAATAATTATTTACATGCATATATAAAATCTAATAAAGATATTCACAAACCAGAGTAACAAACTCAGTAATAGAGTAACATTGTAACAATGCAAAATGGTAACGATAAAGATATGTCGAGAAAATATGTTTTATTGGTGAAATCTTAAACCCAAGCCACGATTATGCTTCAATAGCTAGAAATACTAAAAAAGGAATTACCCAAGTCCATTTTCTGTATTAGTGCGTGCGACTAAGCTGCAGTCAGTGGCTACTGTATTCCATATAATTGAACTTTGTGTTAGGCATTGAACTAAGTTTCTCGATTACCAAACTGATTCTTACTCATATTTGTGAATACCACTATTATGCTTAAAATTGGAATTATTTTATACCGTATCAACCATGGCGCCAATTATATATATATCATCAGGATTATATTCGTTTAAGTCGTTCCGACAATGTGGTGTTAAATATACTAAATTTTCTTTTGGAAATATTTCTGTAAAACA